ACTGCCATCGAATGAGAACCGATTATTGACTCTCCAGCAAGTTTTCAGAAACTGAATCTCACAGGAAGGGATTGCCTATCTTCTGAGGGCAGGATGAAAGGTGAGGATTCTAACTACTTGCTTTTTGGTTGACAGCACAACTTCTTACCCACTAGGCCACCAGAGCTATGTTGTTGTTATCGTTGAGTCAGAACCAGTTCATAGTTGACCCTCTAGCTGGCTTTCAGAGGCAGTATAATCACACAGGAGAAGATTGCCCATCTTTTTTCTGTGGAACAGCTGGTGGATTCGAACTGAGTGCTTTTGGGATGGCAGTGTGACTCCTTACTCTAGGCTACCAGAGTTCCACAATACATGCACACACACACACACACACACACGTACATTATTGTTATGTGCTGTTGAGTTGGAACTGACTCATAGTGACCCTCCAGCAAGTTTTCACAGGTATTAAATCACATAGGAGGAGACTGCCCATCTTTTACTAGCTGAATAACCAGTGAGCTTGAACTGCATACATCTCTGCAGCAAGAAAACAAAAATCCTCACCGCTGGGCCAGTAGACAACATCATGATAGGTGGAGATAAGATTGAAGTTGTCAACAATTTCATCTTGCTTGGATCCACAATCGACATCCTTGGCACCAGGAAAGTAAAAGCTGTATTACATCGGGTAAATGTAATGTCAAGGACCTCTCTAAAGTGTTTAGGAGCAATGATATCACTTTAAAGACTAAGGTGCACATGCTTTTCAATTACTTGTTATGTATCTGAAAGTTGAATAATGACTGAAGATGATAGAAGAAGAACTGATACTTTTGAGTTGTGGTGTTGGAGAACAGTACTGAATATCCCATGGACTGGCAAAAGAACAAATAACTCTAGCATGAAGAAAATGCAGCCAGGGTGCTCCTTAAAGGCAAGGATGGTCAAACTTGGTCTCACATATTTTGGGCATGTTGTCGAGAGTGGCCAGTCCTTGCAAAAACACATCATGGTATGTTTAGAAACATGGTGTGTCTCCAAAGGTGGAGAGGCAGAGAATGAGAGGAAACCCCTCTGAAGATGGGTTGACACAGTGGGTGACACAGAGGTCACAGTAGCAGGCCCTTAGGGAGCTGTGGTGGCCTAGTGGCAAGAAGCTGCACTGTAGTCATGAAGGCACGTAGTTCAAGTCTACCAGCTGCTCTGGGGAGAAGAATGGACAGTCTCCTTCGTGCGATTGACTGCCTCTGAAAACCCACCAGAGGGTCAAATATGGGTTGATTCTGATGGTACATACAACAATGTGGTTATGTACCATACTCAGTACTTCACGTATATTGATCTATTTAATCCTCAAAACAACCTGATGAGGCAGGTCCCACTTTACAGATATGGAATGGAAGCACAGAGAGATTACGTAACTTGCCCAAAGCCACATCTGTTGAGTTACTGGGTACTGTTGAGTTGGAACCGACTCATAGCTGACCCCCTAGTGGATTTTTCAGAGGTTGTAAATTGCACAGGAAGAGATTGCCCACATTTCTCCCCGAGTCATTGATGGATTCGAACAACTTCTTGTTGGGTTGGCAGCACAACTCCTTACCATTAAGCCACCAGAGCATCCATTAAGCCAGCCAGCCTTGGCTCCAGAGCCCGCAGATACCCGACCACGTAGACACCGTCTTCCCACCTCAGCCCAGGTATCTGAGCTGATCCCTGTCCACCAGGTGGCTGCCCAGGCGATGCAGTTTCAGCGTTCACACTCCGTCCTGCAAGTCCTGATAACACACAGATTATCCCTTGTGTCCTAAGTTAGAGATTTGTGTCATTTGCTTATCATCTTTGTTAATAATTGCCAAGATCCATTACTGAATTCTGCTGCATCATCTGTTGTGGTGAAGGGAATGGAGAAGAAAAGTTTGATTATAGGAGGCAGCACCTTGGAAACAGTCACAAAGGAAGTCAGGCTTCTCCGAGTTAGGGCCAGCTGCGTCTCCCTGTAACCTCCAGAGATGTTGTTTATAAATATATATTTTGTTTATAAATATATATTTTC